GGGGCTCATTCTCTCTTTTTTTTTCTTGAGACTATCTCCCATGCTAGAGTATTGTGGCATCAACCTAGCTCACAGCAACCTCAAACTCCTGGGTTCAAGTTATCTTTCTGCCTCAGCCTCCTGAGTAGCTGGGACTACAGGCGCCCACCACAATGCCCAGCTAATTTTTCTATTTTTGGTAGAGACAGGGTCTCACTCTTGCTCAGGCTGGTTTCAAACTCTTGACCTCAAGCGATCTTCCTGCCTCAGCCTTCCAGGGTGTCAGGATTACAAGTGTGAGCCCCAGGCTCAGCAGACGCTCCTCCTCTTTTATTATTAGAGGAGAAATACAGACTGCCAGTGAAAAGCTAAATCACGCCAAGAACTGACCATCAAATTCCAGAAACATCTCTAGTTACTGCCCTTTTCAAGCCTGGTTGTTCAGCTTTTCTTTTTTTTTCTTTTTCTTTTTTTTTTAATTTTGGCCGGGGCTGGGTTTGAACCTGCCACCTCTGGCATATGGGGCTGGCGCCCTACTCCTTTGAGCCACAGGCGCTGCCCCTGTTCAGCTTTTCTGAAGATTGTTTGAGCCCTTCTATAGAGTAATCCCTAAGATAAGCACACTCCTGTTTGCTTAAACTAGAAACCCAAAGGGCCCTAGTAGGTATGTTTTCTTGACACAGTCATGGGCACATACACAGGCAGTATCAATAAATGCTACTTGCTGGTTTAAGGTGATATGCTCGGTCGGGCGCAGTGGCTCATATCTGTAATCCTAGCTCTCCAGGAGGCTGAGGCAAGTGGTTTGCCTGACTCAGGGGTTAGAAACCAGCCTGAGCAAGAGTGAGAACCAGTCTCTACTAAAAATAGAAAGAATTAACTGAGCGTCGTGGTGGACACCCGTAGTCCCAGTACTCAGGAGGCTGGCGCAAGAGGATTGCTTGAGCCCAAGAGATTGAGGTTGCTGTGAGCTATGACGATGCCACGGCACTCTATCCAGGGCAACAGAGTGAGACTCTGTCTCAAAAAATAAAAACAGAAAAAGCGATATGCTTGTAAATAAGACAGTTATAATTAAATGGCACGTTAAGCAACTTACACTTTCATAACAAATCCGTTCCTCCTCATATACTGCAGGGAAAAATGTTAACAGAGTTGGCCTTTAGGGGAAAGTATTGGAAGTGATTTTGATTCTATTTTACGTGTTTTCCAACTTCTCCACATTCACAATTAGTTACTTTAGGATTTAGAAAAATATGCTGCTTTAAAATTTCTGAGGTGCTCACTTATTCATTTGACAAACATGGGTGGGCAGCTGCTATGGACTAGGCATTGCAGGACTCATAAACCAAAAAAACGGGAGGCCGGCCAGCAGCCCCGAAGGAACTTAGGAAGGAGAATTTTTACTCTGCTCAACATGCTCATGGGGGTGAGTCTGCCTGTTTGGTTTATGCCAGAGATCTGTGAAGAAAGCTTCTTTGCCTCAAAAGAATTTCCAGGGTCGTAGCTGCCCGAGTGATGGGGATATTTTAAGGAAGCTGATGCTAGATCGAGGCTACATGATCCATTAAATGTCTTGGGTTTGCCTCCCCACCAGCCTGCACATTGCACAGAACTCTGAGTTAATTCGCCACCTGAGAAGAGGGTGCCCAGGTCATGGGATGTGTATCTCAGGTAGGCGGGATGGGTGCCCTATCTCCTTCTTCCTGACATTTTTATTCCTTAACATTCTATAAGAACAAAAAGCACTGTTATTATTATGTCAAAAAAGTGCCCATTACAATAAATTTATAAGAGACAGATAATTCTAAAGTAGAAAATAAAACTACATATCTGATACCTAGAAAATCACTATTAATATCCATGGTTGGGGAATCAGCAAACTTTTCCTACAAAAGAACAGATGGCGAATATTTTTGGCATTGTTGGCCGTATGGTCTCTGCCACCACTCTTCCACTCTGTCACAGTGCAAAAGCACTCATAAACGGGGACACATAAATGGTTGGGCATGGCTGTGTTCCAATAACGCGCTATTGATAAAAATAGGTGGACGGCTGTAGTATGCCAACCCATTTCACTGTGTATCTTTGTGCATATTTAAAAATATATATATAAATATATGTAACTTAAATAACTTTCAAAAGCTATTACATTCATAAGGTCAGAATAAAATCAAAGACAGTCACACATCATTTAACGACTCGGCTGTAGTCTGAGAAATGGTCATTAGGCAACTCTGTTGTGCGAACATCAGAGTGCACTTACACAACCTAGATGGTGTAGCCTCCTACACACCCAGGCTGTGCAGTATGGACTACACATAGCTCACATTGTAACACAATGACATGTATTTGTGTATCTAAATATATGTGAATATAGAAAAGGTACACTAAAAATAAGGTATTAAAGATTAAAAATGGTACATCTCTATAGGCCACTTACTCTGAATGGAGCTTATGGGAATGGAAGTTGCTCTGGGCGAGTCCATGAGTAAGTGGTGAGGGGCTGTGAAGGCCTGGGACACTGTTGTCCACTTTATAAACGCTGGCCACTTAGGCTATGCTAAACTTATTTAAGATTTTTTTCTTTAATAATAAGTTGATCTCAGCTTACTGTAACTTATTAACTTTATAAAATATTAACATTTTTTGACTCTTTTGTAATAATGCTTAGCTTAAAACACAAAGACATTGTACAGCTGTACAAAAAAAATATCTTCTTTCTTCATATCCTTATTCTATAAGCTTTTTCCCCCCATTTTTAAAGGCGTTTGTTGAAAACTAAGACACACATATTACTTCTCGGCCTATTGGCTAAGATCAAGTGTGAAAACCAAGACACACATGCATTAGCCTAGCCCTGCACAGGGTCAGGATCATCAGTATCACTGTCTTCCACCTCCACATCTTGTCCCACTGTAAGGTCTTCAGGGGCAATAACACGCAGGGCATGGAGC